GTTCACCCACCCTCTCTTTCTACCAAATATATGAGGAGTGGATTTAGAAGGGGGTATGCTAGTTAGTCCCTGTCTCTTATACACATCTAGATGTGTATATCTGACCAATAATAACTTTGTTTTCGGCGACGGTCATTACCTTCAAATTCATGGCACAGCGATGGGCACGAAAATGGCTCCATCTTTTGCTAACTTATTTATGGGACAATTTGAGGCCAATTTCCTGTTCCTTACAGCCCAAGAAACCAGATGTTTGGTTTCGTTACATTGATGATATTTTCATGATCTGGACCCATGGTGAAGAGAGTTTGGATACGTTCCTATAACATTAATTCGGCTCATCCCACAATCAAATTCACTGCTAACAAATCCACAAGCAGTGTAGATTTTTTGGACATCACTGTGACCATGGAAAATGGTGCACTTAAAACTGATCTCTTCCGTAAACCCACGGATAAGCATATGTACCGGCTCCCCAGCAGCTGTCACCCCCCGCACTGTACAAAAAACATTCCGTACAGCCAAGCATTGCGCATGAGACGCATTTGTTCTTCGGATTTAGATTTTCAGAATCGAACAGAAGAACTATCCGGACATTTCCGGAATAAAAAATTATCATCGAGGACCCATTGAAAATGCTATAAAAAAAGCAAAGGACATACCTCGTGCTCAAACACTGACATACAAAGCACGTCAACGATCGACCAGAGTGCCACTGGTCACTACCTATCACCCTAGGTTACCACCACTAAGGGCTATAATTCAGAAACATATGCCCATTCTACAGACCACAGAACGTCCTAGGTCTGTTTTCCGGATACACCTTTCATAGCCTATCGCAGACCACCTAACCTTCATGATATATTAGTACGATCTAAATTCAAGAGGCAAACTAACTCTTGCGACAACCGTAATTTGGGTAGTCATCTTTGTGGTTCATCATGCAAAACATGCTCCTTGCTTGATTCTACACAATCATTCAAGAGCAACCAAACAAACCACATATTTCGGATAAGGCCATCAATTAATTGCCTCACCAAAAATTTCATTTATCTCATATATTGTAATATTTGTGGTAAACAATATGTCGGAGAAACAAAAAACACTCTCCGTATGAGAATGACACAACATAGATCAGCTATCAGAACATCTAAGCTTGATCAACCAGTAGCCGAACATTTCAATTTAGCTGGTCATTCAATTTCAAATTTCAGAGTGATTGCAATTGACCATAATGCCATTTGGAACGACAAAAATCGCAAAGATAAAGAGAATCACTGGGAACTTTTACTTAAAACAACCACACCATTTGGACTCAATATTAGGAACGTTCTCCCAGTACACAAAATTAAACCAATGGCATTTCAATTTATTCCTTATAAAACATTTGGCTTATTTATTGAGGCTTGCCTCTAAAGTTTAGTTTTGGCCTTCCTGTTTACTGGTTTAGGCTGTTTATTCTAATCTCACCCAGCCTATTGTTGTCTCTTATACACATCTA